AACCAAAAAAAGGATTAAATTATCATAAATTTTTCTTCTGGGTGAACTAAACAACGGTAGAGAAAAATGTGAAAGTAAAAATTTTGGCGGGTTTAAAAAAAAAGTGTTTTTTTAAAAAGAAAATAAACTTTAAGGTGCTATAACAATTACTTAAATAAACTTTTTTTCTGGTAGGTGTGTTCCTACGCGAGTACAATCTGCTTTTACAAATTTAGTTAGTTTTGCAAACTAACTAGCTATATCGAGCGCAACGGAGTAATTTCAGGTGAAAAAATAAGTCGAAAGTGCAGAATGGAAATTTGTTTATACGGCGCTTTGTTCTCGTGAAAATTACATTCGAAACTTGTTGAATACCCGTACGTTCGAACCTTTATTTCGTTGAAAATGAGACCTTAAACCAGGTTAAATTACATTTTATTCTACCATTTTTCTCTCTATTTTCGCCATTTCCTTTTCATCGACAAATTTTCCCAAATTAATTTTCGTTACTCGTGGATTTGATCCGTTTAAAAAAGACAGTTTCTACTAATCTAGCTAGGACATAATCTACTGAGAGAGAGAGAGAGAGAGAGAGAGAGAGAGAGAATATCGTTTTACATTTTCCTCAGAGGAAATTCTCTAATCAGATTCGAATTTATATTTGCAACTTACTCGATTCCATCTATCCCGATCACGAACAAAGTGCAGTCCATGCAGAGCGACCAGAATGTGTCCTCCAGGGTTTGCTTGATAATGCAAAAGGATCGACCGATTTTGCCATTGGTTGGTTCTGCTCCAGTGTCGATTCGTTAGGAAGCTCTCGAAATCTCTCCGGGTTCCACCGTCTTGCTCCCAATATCGTTCTCCTTAAGTCTGCGGTCGTCAATTAACGGTGTTCCATTATTCACGAAAATGCCGGTCGATGGTTCCGTGGCGAGTGCTTCGCGAGTTTCCAGTTGCAGTACCGAGACACGGAAACTTTTCCTTCGTCCAAAAACTTCTCCAGGCTACTTTGTAATTCCCTTCATTCGGAGTATATGTTGCCGGCAATGTGTAAAATGTCGATATTTTATATTGTAATACCTAGGAAATAATACCTAGGAAGCGCGTCGATTTTAGGCAAAAGCGTGAAACGTTTGTGTTGTTCTAATATATCGTGTAGTTTTCCTGGCCATTGTACACAAAGTTGTCTAAAAGCCAGACGAAATCAAATTTCTCAGCCACTTTCGATAGTCGAAGAAAAATATGTTTCGAACGAAAATTCTATCAGCTTTCAGTCGACTACAGATTACGATATTACGAATTTCGAAAAAGGTTTTACTTCGATGGAAAGTTTTCTATTTTTCTTCTTTTTTTTTTTTTAATGAAACAATACACCTTTCTGTACTCTATTCGATGTATTTTTTAATTCCCTAGAAAGAGATATTGAGATACTTGAGTGGAAAAAACGAATAGTTTAAAAAAAAAAGAAAGTTCTACGCTGCATCTCCTTGTAGATTTTTCGTCATTTCTAGAAGTTGCAATAAGAGCTGTCTGCCACAGATCGTGCCTTCCACGTGGCTGCTTCTACCACTGATTACTTCTTGGGTTTTATACAATTGGGTTTAATATGGGAAATGTCATAGGTCTCCACGTCTCAGAAAGTTTCCGACAGCTGTCGCCAGTACCATGCAATGCTCGGATGAATCTCACGTCTATTTGATTGGAATTAATGGAACAGTTAAGATTTTGAGTCACTTGTCTCACCTATCTCATCTTGTCTAATGAAACATAAGAACAAGGGGCTACCAAACGTCTGGCTCAGTCTGACGTCTGTTTGATCGGAATTAATAAAATAGGCAAAACTTTGAGCCAGTTGTCTCGACTATCTCATCTTCTCTAATCAAACATGAGAAGGAGGAGCCACCAAATGTTTGGCTCAGTCTGATGTCTGTTTGATCGGAATTAATAAAATAGACAAAACTTTGGGCCAATTGTCTCCTTCTTATGTTTCATTAGAGAAGACGATATAGGTAGGACAACTGGCTCAAAATCTCAACTGCTTCGTAGGAGCCATCAAATGTTTGGCTCAGTCTGACGTCTGTTTGATCGGAATTAATAAAATAGGCAAAACTTTGAGCCAGTTGTCTCGACTATCTCATCTTCTCTAATCAAACATGAGAAGGAGGAGCCACCAAATGTTTGGCTCAGTCTGATGTCTGTTTGATCGGAATTAATAAAATAGACAAAACTTTGGGCCAATTGTCTCCTTCTTATGTTTCATTAGAGAAGATGATATAGGTAGAACAACTGGCTCAAAATCTCAACTGTTTTGTTAATTCCGATCAAATAGACGTCAGACTGAGCCAGACATTTGATGGCTCCTCCTTCTCATGTTTCATTGGTGAGATTGAAATAGAAACATGAGAAGGAGGAGCCACCAAATGTCTGGCTCAGTCTGGCGTCTGTTTGATCCGATTTAATGAAACAGTTAAGATTTTGGGTCAGTTGTTTTGCCTATCTCATCTTCACCAATAGAACATGAGAAGGAGGAGCCACTAAATGTTTGGCTCAGACTGACGTCTATTTGATCAGAATTAACGAAACAGTTAAGACTTCTGAGCCAATTGTCTCACCTACCTCATCTTCACCAATGAAACATAAGAAAAACGAGGCACCAAATATTTTCTTAACAATGTAGGGACGTTTGCTACTTTGCCAGAGGACTATGATACTCCTATAATTTCTCGCAAGTGGTTCGACTACCTCTTTCCAGGTGGTCGACTACCTGTTTCCACGTGTTCCACTGCGTGTTTCCATAAACACGACTTCCAGTATAATCTCCCCTATCCCGATGTTTAAGGCACGGGCCTGCTTGATAGTCTTACTATTAAATCCTGCAGCAGGTACCGGACGAAATAGAAACTGCAGGTCCTCTTTCCTTTCTCTTTCAAACTTCCTGCAATGCCTACCGTGACGATCGTACAGCAACAGAAAATTTGTCACGATATTATGTTTTATCAAACCTTCTCATCATTCATAGTGCGTCACGAGCACGAGCTCGCCTACAATCTTTTCGCTAGATTCGCCTATATTATCACACGCGGATTCGATCGATAATCGTCACTCGACCGGAAGTTCACCGGAACGCGATCCATTCGGCAGATGGGGTCACCGCTTTCACGCGAACGACCAACTTTCTCTGCCGTTCTCGGAACAACTTTGAATAATCGCCTGCCTTCAACTTGTCACGCGCTTCCGTCCCCACTTTTACGGAATGCACCCTGCAACAGGTCTGCGATGAAATTCTGCCCTTCGAAAGGTCCGCAACTGCTGTGAAAATTACTCGTCGCTCGCATCGTCGACGAACGAACTCGTTCCAGTTGTTTAGACACGAACCAACCTGACAAATTGGAGGAATTTTTTTCAAATGGGTTATGCCAGCTGGACTTAGCTCCGATGTTAAATCCGGCAGCCGACCGTGTACCCTCCGCGCCTTTTTTTTATTCCTCTCTTAACGCCTCCGTTGAAGAATTTAAAGGCTGCGATAAGCAGAACACGACGAGACCTTTCGCTCGTGTTTCTGCAGCTTGAAAGCACAAACGCGCATTTAAACGGCGAACAATTTTCTGATTCTTTACGGCGCAGTGAAATTCACGGTTCCACCTATCGAGCTCCATTTATCACGGTTACACTGCCGCAGTATAAACACCAGGACGATCGATACTCGGCCGATTATTGCTCTCGCTTTCCTGAAAATATAAACTACACCCATTGTTTCAGCCTGTGTTAATTGTTCCAGCCACTTTCCTGAACCTTTCGCTCAGACTGACTGCCATAAACGAACTTTGCTGCCTTGATCATCGACCGAACAAGTTTCTCCTTTCCATTCTACGAGATTATTCTTCTGCTAGCTTCCGAATTTACCGTAACTTTGACATTTTTGCAAACAATTATCGTCTCACGACGGAGCAGACGTTGCCAGGATTTTTCAATTATTCAAAATTTCGGAGCTTTAAATTTGATGAAGATGGACTCACGTGTATGGTAAATATAAGTTACACCATATTATCAGGTAAATATTGTAAAAATAGGTTTTCAGGTGGAATTTTAGATAGCCTAGAACCTGGACTAGTTTGAATATTTTACAGAATAATCGAACCTTGATCGTCCCTGAGTGTCTTATTAAGAATCTTGCAATTAGATTGCTGACTTATATACGCTTTGAGAAATGAAAGAATACAAAGCTACATAGAATACGGAGATTTTATAAAAATATATAAAATAACCAAGATACAGTGCTTGTTATGATTCTATGATATTTAGTAGCTGTAACACTTTTAATTGCTTGTTGGGTAAAATTTTATTCGAATAACAAATGACGAATAAAGCTACAAAATCGTCATTATATTCGCCACTAATGAATGTGTCCTATCTAACAACTATATATCTGACTAATAAAATAATTTACTCGACTAAAAAATTATTGCTGTAAGAATTTATCTGAAGAAAAATTTAATCGAATAAAATTATACATTATATATTACACTATTCAATACACATTAATATATATATTTATGTATTTTATCGAGGATGGACATGCTATCGAACCTGAGATATATCTTCGAGCTACGTTGTCCAGTTATTGTAACATTAGCTTCTATAACTAATTTTGTCCAAATGGCAGATTAGAAAATTCATTGTTCCTTGGTAAATTATTCGTTGTATGTTACTTATGTACACAGAAATACGCATTTCCATGAACGCAAATATAAAAACTTCTTAACACTTTACCGACCGGTAGCCTATTAATCAACTTTTTATCGCCGACGCTTGCCAATCGCTAGCCGATTAATCGGCTTTTTGTTGCCGACAATCTTCCTCATTATTTGAGCAGTAATTTGTTATTTGGTACTAATGTACCTTGCTCAGTTACCTCAGTTGCGTTGCTTTATGAGCTTCCACAGTTTTATACCAATTTGAAAAGTTCATCGTTCGCGATGAACGAAAAAAATGGTATTGGAGAGTCTGAACCGAAACAGAGCCGGCGCCAGGGAGAATCCGCGCCTGAGCTGCCGGTCGGATGTGCGTATACTGTTGAACCGCCAGCGGTCGGTAAAGTGTCAATAATCGAGGAATCATCGCTACTAACGAACAAATTATTTCTGTTGCAGTACACCAACTGGGAGGACCCGTACAATGGCTACATCTACCAGAATATGGTGGCGGACGTGGTGGGCGACTACTTCTTCATCTGTCCGTCGATCCACTTTGCCCAACTGTTTGCGGAGCGCGGCATGAAGGTCTACTATTACTTCTTCACTCAAGTAGGTAGCGCTTTTTATCGTCACGTGCGCCTAGACTACGGGAACGTGTCACGTGAAACGTGCCCGATCGATAGGGAACTATTATGTTATAGTCTGACATTTCCACGGGACGATAGTCACGTGGCGACTGACGATAACACGGCTCGTGATTCTTCCCTTTTCTGGTCGTTTGCTGCAACGATCAGGGTAATATCTATCGTCCTGTCCAAGGCGAATCGTTGATTGCTTTCAGTGTTTCGAGTATGTCAGGCATTTTTCATAGTCGAATCGCTATACGACATTTTAAATGTCTAAATTACATTCGAATGTTGTGGTATGAAAGCTGGAATCTAAATTGCTGAGGGAGAAAGATGTGACAGTAGGTTCAAGGCTGGCCAGTCGATTTAAAAGACAAAGGGATGTTAAAATTTGTTTGACAGATTATGAGCAACGTTAGACCTGTATAGGCTTGCTAACGCGATCCGTAAGGAGTCCATAATGGACAAATTATTAATTGACAAATACTGTTCGCGCGACTACTTGTTAAAAACCGACGATTCGTGGAATGAAAGGGAAACTGGATGAAGTTTGTACAACGTACGAGGGTTAGGGACTTAGATGGGAGGATCATAATCGCTGCATATTACGAGGAAATTATGAAAAATTCGCCAGGGTTTGCTTTTACTTTTTTCCACGCTTACACGGTACGGTGGGTGGCAGGGAAAAACGAGCTGCAACGTCGACGAATGATTGACTAATAACAGCCACTCGACGTAAATTATAGCTACACCAACGTTGCCGATGTATGTTCGGCAAATTTCGTTCGTTTTTCTTCCTTTTAATTCTTTACTTCGTTTTTCCTTTTTCTTCTCTTTCTTTCTTTTTTTTTTCATTATCGATCAACCCGGTTGAAGTTGATCGTGTTCATTTTCTTTCCATGCGAATGCTCCTCTACAAAAAGCGACGCCATTAGAGTGAATAGTATCGAAGACGAGCTTTTAAGAGGCGGCGTTATACTGGAACGAAGGTCGACCAGATATTAGGAAAGGCTACCCTTTCAGATCCGGGACTTTGTCGACTTTATCGCGGCGTTTTATCCTACCCCGCAGTGGTATAAATCAATAATTGAGGCTCTCAAAGGGAGAAACCCACGACGATTCTAGGATCCTTCCAGGTTATTAGATTCTTGCCGTGTGCCTCGCGACTCCGCCACCGTAAGACACCGTAATTTCTTCGTTCCACGTGGTTAAGCTGTTCCACGGGCCGCACCATCCTATCTGGCCTCGAGTTTATCACGAAATTTCTCGATATATATTCCCGCGCTGAAGTTATAAAACAGGGCATATAAGCGAAAGTCGTGAAGACTCTTGAACTTTCATCGCCTCTTTAGCTCGAGAGGACATTAGGGACCCACAATTTATGGATGGTAGAACGGGCCACGTTTACGAGTTCTTCTGAGACACTTGGAAACAGGCAAGCTGTGAGCTCTAGGAAGAAATAAATGGAAGCTGCAGGTTTCGTCGAATCAAGTTGCCAACCTAAGATCGAAGAAGATGCAAGATCTTAGGTCTAACTTGGATCAAGAGTGAAAGACGAGATTCAAACCAAATTCAAATCCAAATTCACCTTACAGATGAAGATTAGACCTGGCTGAGACTAATTTCAGGTGAAATTCCAGTAGGACTGTATCTTGAGATTGGGCAAAGAATAAACAATAAATCCAACTTGAGATGAGAACCAGGCGAGAACCAAAATTAAACCCAGTTCTAAGATTGGCGGACAAATAAGATTTAGGTTAGAGACTTAGGTCTAATTCTGGCTTAATTTGAAGCAAAAGCGAGCCTAATTCCAAGATGGCAGAAAGAGTACCAGGGTCTAACTGACACGAATCTGGCTGAAGCTTAACTGGCACAAAACCCTAAAACTCCATGGTTCCAGGCCCGACTGAGTTTTAACTTGAACGTAGTCCGACTCAAACCTTAGCCTAACTGCAAACTGAAGAAATAATCAGTAAAAGATGGAGAGTACACGTAAGGGAGAGCCTATCCTGAACCAGGTCCAGATGCGATCTAATCCAAACTTAGCCTGAAGCCGTAGAAGTAACTATCCCGCATTTTACTGCATCCTTGTCTCCTCTAAAATTCATGTACAGCCAGCAAACGAAATTGAAAGGCGGCCATTCCATAAAAAACCGCTGAAGCTCCAGGGTGTTTCACTTTCATATAGAGCTAGATCCTGGGAGATTTCTCGCCGCCGACTAACTGGAACGTGAAATGCTTGTAAGCGGAATGCCGAGGCCCAAGTAATTAGCGGAGGAGGTAATTTATCAGGGAGTTGGTGGAAGCAAAGGAGGATGTCATTACTCATGCGCGCCCACCGTAATCTTAATAACGGTTTCGCCAGCCAGTTAAAGCAGCCTCCTTTAACTCGCGTTCGTTTTCAGCCTCTCTCTCTCTCTCTCCCTCTCTGTGTCTCTCCCTTCCGTGGCCTTATTCCATGCGCGCCTTCCCGGGAACTTTCATCCTTTCCATTCGATCCTTAATACCATCTCTTTCTCCCGGGAATGGCACGGTTACCAAGTTAATTGGTCGGTCTACGATCTCCTAAAGGGTTCAGATCTAGCTGGCTCGATCTTGATTAGAAGGGCAAGACTACAAAAGAATATCCGGTCGCCACTTCTTGTTCCTTTCGGTTTTCATCCGTTCTCGAATTTCCCTCGGAGAAGTTTACTCGCCGGAGGAGCAATAAAAGCGGCAGGAACATGTTCTCCGCGTTTCCAGTTCATCCGGCAGCCGAGGGTGGACAGACGGGGGAAAAAATTAAAGATGACTCGGAGAGAGGAGACGCTGGAAAGAAGTCGTAAGTTTCCCTTCGGGGCCGGGACGAAACAAGTTCAAAGCCGGGAAGTGGGTCAGAAACGGGTTAACGCTGGGGCGAAAAAGAAATGGGGAGGAAATGCACGTCGCTGGAGAGAACACGTGTATAGATATCTGAAACGCTTCCGCCGCGAGGTCGAAACACATTTCGTCCATCAGGGTACGCTGATTTTCTCACACTACACGCATCTCGTAACATAAATTCGAAACTTCCTTCCTTATCGACCGGGTATCCTCTAGCTACGTCTATGTTTCTATGGGAGTAACTTGGAAAGACCCGAGTATTGAAAAAATCGAATCGTTCGTCGAATAATTTGTACACGTCGAAAAAATAATCACAGCCGGAAATAAACCGACCGATTCGTTAAGCGATGAATCGCGCGGCCGATTAGCCAAAGGAATTAATGGAAACGAGGCTCGTGGCTTCTGAAAGACTCCTTTCAGCCCGTGACCCTTCCGACTCCGCCGGGAATCTTTTCACGCGCTGCTTTTTCTCGCTAAACTTCGTTATCGACCGAGCCGGATCGCGCTCCACGATTTCTCGCGGAGCCATTCATTGGCCACGTTAAAAGCGAGGCTGAAAGGAACGAATCGGACTATCCAATGGTTCCGTGGCTATTGACAGCGCCGAAAAAGAATCGTCCCATGAATAGAAATCCCGCGGAAAGCTGCTTGCATCGTGTGAACATTGACTGGCCTGGTTATCACCGAATCAAACGCCGCTTTTTCGTCGACTGTCTTTCAAACAAATGAGTTTAATTTCTTACGAATTAATCCCTGTTACGCGTAACAATTGTTTCTCAAGCCGCCTGTAACGAATCGATTAAAGATCCACACGCTCAAACAGAATATGTCAATCATTGATCAGACGAGGACGAGTATCAAGTGGTAAAGATCGACGATAAGTCAGCCACGATCGAAAGTCACGAATTATTCGACGAATAGCTGATTCTGCTCATTCGTACAGGTCTTGATCAGTCGCGAAAGATTTTTCAAGAGATTAAGACGTAGTTTTATAGAGGTACAAAGTAGTAAAGATCAACGATAAGCGAGTGGCGGTTAAAAATCGTAAATTTCTCGAGGAATATCGAATCTCCTAGGTTCTTAGAAGCTCTTAGCAGCTTCTTATTTATCTCGAATAATTTCTGAAAGGAAGGAAAAGGGAAGAAAACTGTTCGTTCGAATAGCTCGTCTCGCAGAGGAATAAAGGGCAGCAGCAGGATTTTAACACGGCGTGCGGTGAAACGCGGCCAAGTTAATTAAGAAATGTCGTTCGACGGCGTTTATTAAAGCAGCGTAACGAAATTCCTGGCGTCCATCGAGTTCCGTTGAGCATTATCGATCGTCGTGTCATTATGCTCGCCCCTGGGCTTCCCTTTGGTCGATCTTCGGCCCCACCCCAGCCTGTCCTTCCACTGTTGCCTTTGTAATTTTAAGGATCGTTAAAATTAACGACGTTTACCGAACAAAAACGACTGTCATTATGACAACGCCGTGTTCGCAGCTTCCCTCCTTCGGAGCTCGTTTCCCTTTCCAACGTAATGTGACGGCAATCTAACAACAGAAATCAAGTTCGATTGTCTCTCTGACCTAGATGTGTACACAGATTTATTGTTATATCGGTGACAGAATATTTTTTTTTTTTTTTTTTTTTTTTTTTTTAAAAAAATTTTTTTTTATAAA